TTTATTTACAGAATTTGCTTCATCACACTGTTTCTGCAAATGGGGAAACTTTGACAGCAATCTACAGCCAATAACACACTGACTGAATATTAATACAAATCTAATATATTGTGAACAAAAGACAGAATTGAACCCAGCTAGATTGTCTTTGTTCTCTTTACCCTTTAAAACATCACAAGTAGAGAAAATATATTCTTTTCCCTATAAAAGTACAAGAAAATACAGTAAAAAAAAGGCAAACCAAAGCACCAAACCTTTATGTGTTAATATAAACTGAAAACAAAAAGAAGATTCTCCAACACTGCACAGTTGGTGAAATAACAAGCTGCAGACACCAAACCGGCCCTATCGAAATGCAGAAGCAGGCAGCAAACTCAGATCAAAGGGACAACGTATCCGAGGATCAACAACAGATCTGATTTGCAACAAAGTGCCAAGCTGTGAACCGTAAAACTCTCTCCCCTTCACTCAAAAGGAACCGGTCAGTCCAAACACAAACAAACAACTTTATCTTCTCGTGGCTCATCGGGACCTTTTGCATAAACAGAACATAAATCACATCAAACACAAAGATCTGCCTTTGCACCAGTTCTGGAAGTTTTGGTTTAAATGTTTTAGAGATGAWAGTTTTTTGCAATTTTTTTATCAACTTGTCAACCAATAAAGAAATCGGCGTAAAAAAGGAATTCCTCCAAGTTCAGTGTTTTCATAATTATCACCTGCTGCTTGTGTTTCTGTCTGTGTGTTTATAGTGTTGTGTGTGCACATGATTTTGTCACCCTTTCAGCACCATTTATAAAACCCAGATTAGGAGTTAGACRACTACTAAATGTACAACTTAACTTTTAGAGTCAACCTTCAGTATTTATGAGCACGTAATGTGCTTCGAGAGAATAATGCAACCCCCTTCCTCCATATTTTCAGCTTAAAAAGCATAAAAACCATAATCCTTGTATAATGTTGACCCTAATTTCATACAGACTGCAGGATTTTTCAGCCTTTGTAGTCACCCTCTGGGGTTACACACCCGGGGGCATGTTTATGGCTGCTGAGGAGCAGCACAAGATGAAGACAGTCCGGTCTGACAGCAGAAGCTGGTTGTTAAATTAGGAAATATGGGCAGCTTTGAAGAGCTGCTCATCTGGTCCTGTCGAACACGCAAATGTGCAACAAACTTCCACGTCTTCTTTTCATCTCTGCCCCGCAGTTAAAAAAAGCTTTTCTTCCTCAGACTCCTGTGTGGAAGAAAAAAACAAAAACAAATAGCAACTCTTGTTTATATGCTTCACCATGCATGACGCGTTCTGCAGAGGGAAGACAGAGGGAGAAATTATAATTTCATCCTCTGTGACACCATATTTCATTTATATACAAGAAAATATTTACATTTATTCTGGTAGTACATTAGAATAAAATGTCAAAATTGACTTTCATGTGTACTGTGACATCCCTTCCACTCCCCACCCTATATATTTTTGTATTATACGCGCATAAAAATGGTTATTCAAGACGGTGACCTCAGCTAATTGTCCTTAACCAACATCATGTGAGATCTAACTTTATCAAATAAGACTGCTTTAACTTCATCTCTTCTAATCACAAAAATGATGTTGGCTTCGATCTCTGGCATCAGTGGCGGTGAGTGAAATACATCCATATGAATTAATTTGAATATTTAGTCGTGTGTTTATCTTATCCTTTGCTGTAACAAGAATGCCTTCGAAAAGAACTTTGTAGCGTGAATATCAGGCTGACACAGTAAATTTGTAGTTTTTTTTACAAACAGAAGTTCTTCTCTAATGAAGACTAATTAATGTTTGGTTGTTGCTTGATCTCACCCAGCTTTACTTTAAAGAACAAGAATGGGCAGTTTAAACACTGAGTCAATGTGTGGTTTGTTTTATCTTGCTTTCAGTGTGGGTCTCTCATGTTCACAGCAGAACTCTGGTCAGAGGGTTTTTTTCTGTAGAAAATAGCTAAATGCATTGATATAATGAATTATAAACAATAAAACAGATACACTCATCAATTATTAATTGTATCATGTAATTTTAATCAGGTTTGTATAAAACATAAAAGTTAGTGTTTCATTTATTTCTAAGTAAAAAAGAAAATGTGTGAACATAAGTTTGATTTTTTTCATCCAACTTGAATTAATGGGTCCTAACATTTCATAGTAATAAAAGAAATAAAGTTCATCAATGGTTACTGTTCCTATTAATTGCAAATTTTCTATTCAGACCCTAAAAGAAATAAAGCTTTTTTAGACAAAACCTCCATAAGGAAGTTTCTTATTGGATCCCCCACCCCCCACCCCATAACAGCAGCCCTGGAGATTTTGGAGGATTTGATTCAAAGCACCTTGGTATCAGAAGTAAAATAGAGTGCCTGAAATTGCTGCCTCCATTTACCATGGGATAAGATAAGAGCAGCACAAACAAACAGCAGAAAAGAGAGGTAATGATAGCTCATGAAAAATGCCGTTTTACAAAGCTGGAGCATCCAGATATGACACTCCGGACTTTCAGGACCACCCTTTGGGTCAGGCACAAAAGGTTGCAAATGGAAATGCAGGCAGTTTTATAGAGTTATTTAACGTATATCTGAGTGAAAAACAGTTAGCAATAAACAATACATCTATGTTTTTGTTGTAAATGCATTATTATCTAGCCTGGTTTAAACCAGACCCTGTCCTTCACTTTGCTTCGTACAAGGGTCTGGACTTGATGCATAGAGAAGTGATTCTTG